AAACCCTAATCCAAAGCAACGGAAATATCTATGCTAAAGCAACGAATATCCATCCATTGCCGGACACGAGATGCTTCCTTTCGGAGAGAGCGACCGAAGCAGCGTGCTACAAAACGACTCGTGGATTTGGGGAGTTTTGGATTTGGTCCAAAGAGAGCCAGCTAGCTTTCGTGTGATAAATGTGGGGAGTGTTCTTCCTTCCTCTGGATTTCTCGTCGTGTTCTTCGTCGCCGCTCGCAAAGATCTGTGGTTGCTTCGGCCAGGCGTCGTCGATCGTGATCCGACTGGCTTACGTTCTCGACGCGGTGATCTGCTGCTGCTTTTGCTGCTTCCTCTGCGAGGCCCGGCTCGACCACCCCAAGTCTTCTTAACATCTGCATTGGCTTGCTCATAAGCTCTTAGATCATCCAAAGTTCTCTCGGAGGAACTCGAGGAGATGGTTCGCCAGGACCAAATCGCGAGAGCGCTCTCACTCTTTTCCCTCCTCGCCCTCACCACCTTCTACGTGATCACCATCGCGCTCGCGAGCTGGGCGCTCAACCGCGCGTTCAAGGAGTCCACGCCCGGCTCGCCGGTAGTAGGATCGACGCATGGTAAAACTTGTACGTTGGGTATGTTGACTTTAGTTGACTTTTACTTACAGGGAATGCGGCGACTCCATTCCTTGCGTTGACCACGCTGATCTCCGGGGTCGTCGGAATGGCGGCGGTGATACTCGGGCTCCAACACGTGGCATCGTGGAAGGCCAAGACGCTAATCGCCGCCAACGCGGCCACCATTATCGCGTGGGCTCTCTCGCTACTGGCTATGGGGTAAGATACCCGGTATTACTATTACCATCACCATTACCATCCTTGTTTTACAGGCTTGCCTGCCGCGAGGTTGGGCTTGGAGGGCGGAGGGACGGTAACCTGGTAAGAAGTTTGTGGTAATGGTCATGGTAACTTTTGAGCATTTTTACAGCGGAGCTTGGAGGGGTTTGTGATATTCCTGCCCTGGGTCCTGCTCGTACAAATGGTGACGTGGCAGGCGGCCATGGTTGTCCAGCGAGTGGAGCACGCACCCCCGACGACCCCACGAATGACTGTGTGATTGGATAATTTATTGGCAGGAAATTGTGTGTGATCTAATCCGGGAAATATGACATTCGATAATGCTGCTCCACACATTTTTGTGTTCTCATGTGTCGTCCTATCACTCGATCGAGAGACTTTGCGGTCGATTGATCCAGTTCTTGGGAAATCGATAGCAAATCGATCGATATAGCTCAAGTTTCCGGGAAACGATTGCTCTGATTGGATTGAATCGCGATGGAGAAGCAGAGGGAGCAAGATTTCCTGGACCGGTTGGTGATCTTCCTGGCCAAGCGCGATGGCATCGACAAGCTGGTGAAGACGCTCCAGTACACCGGTAAGCTCTCGCACTGGCATCTCTCGCGGCGGAGCAAGCGATCAAGCGTCCCCAATCTCGCCACTCGCGCCAAGGCGCTCGAGGTCTCGTGCGGCCTCGCGCGCAAGGCCTTCCGCCTCGGCCGCTGGCTCTCGGGCCTCAACAATCTCCGCGCGCCAGCGCCCAATCTCCCCTTCCTCGCGCTCGCCATCCTCGCCAACGCCGGCGAGATGGTCTACTTCTTCTTCGACCACTTCACCTGGCTCTCGCGGATTGGCGTCCTCGATCCCAGCCTCGCCCCGCGGTTCTCCCTCGTCTCGTCATCCGGGGAGGCGTTCGGCTACGTCTTCTTCGTGATCGCCGACGCCATTCTCATCGCGCAGGGCGTCCGGGAGGAGCGGAGGCTCGCGCTGGAGCTGCAGGCGATGGTGAGGAGCCGGGACACGAAGCTGGGCGATGAATCGAGCAAGCTGGGCGGGCAGATCCAGGCCAAGAGGGTTGCGATCACGGCAATCCGGGTGAAGAGAGTGATGTCGGCCATGGCGATCGCTGCCAACGTCGCGGATTTCGTGATCGCGCTCGCGGACATCGAGCCCAATCCGTTTGTGACCCATGCCGTGACGCTGGGGATCAGTGGATTGGTCTCAGCGTGGGCGGGATGGTATCGAAACTGGCCATCGTCTTAGTTGCATTTTTGGAGATGCCAAAGGGATCTAAAGTTGATCACTATCTGTCCACGTGTCATACGCCCACGTTTCCCACGCAGGACAAACTGTGACCGTCCGATCACCAGTTTTAGGGTTCCTCCTTCTGTGGCATGGCGCACCACTGCATGATGGCGATTGCTTGATCCCTGCGCTCCAAGAGCGCGGCGATGCAGCGCGGTGGGCTGCACATCTTCCTCTGAGTGGGAATTCCTCTTCACTTGGATCTCTCTACCGGCATTTTAGATCCGAGGGTGGGTAGCAGCATGGATTCGCCCAAGCGCGGCAGCAATCAGCACCAACAGCGCAAGCTCCCGCTCCTCCCGCTCGTCTTCCTGATTTTCTATGAGGTCTCCGGCGGCCCCTTCGGCGTGGAGGACGCGGTGGGCGCGGGCGGGGCGCTGCTCACGCTGCTGGGATTCATCGTCATGCCCTTTCTATGGAGCATCCCCGAGGCCGTGATCACCGCGGAGCTCGCCACGGCCTTTCCCGACAACGGCGGCTACGTGCTGTGGATCCAGGCGGCCTTCGGTCCCTTCTGGGGATTCCAGGAGGGATGGTGGAAGTGGCTGTCGGGAGTGATCGACAACGCGCTCTATCCGGTGATGTTCCTCGACTACCTCAAGTGGGCGATCCCCAGCGTCGGCGGCGGCGTCGTGCGTTTGGTCTCGCTGCTGGCCATCACCGCCGCGCTCACCATCGTCAACTATCGCGGCCTCACGATCGTGGGCTACACCGCGGTGGCGCTGGGGATCTTCTCGCTGCTACCGTTCGTGGTGCTCTTCTTCCTCGCGATCCCATCGCTGGAGCCATCGCGCTGGCTGGAGGTGGATCTCCGCAACACCAACTGGACGCTCTACCTCAACACGCTCTTCTGGAATCTAAACTACTGGGACTCGGTGAGTACGCTGGTGGGCGAGGTGGATCGGCCGCACGAGACGGTGCCGCGGGCGCTAGCGGCGGCGCTGGTCCTGGTGGTGGCGTCGTATCTCCTGCCGCTCCTCGCGGGCACCGGGGCGGCGCCGCCGGGCGACCGCAAGCTCTGGGCCGACGGCTACTTCGCGCACATCGCGCTCAAGATCGGCGGCGGCTGGCTCAAGTGGTGGGTGGAGCTGGCGGCGCTGCTGTCCAACGCCGGGATGTTCGAGGCGGAGATGAGTAGCGACTCTTTCCAGCTGCTCGGGATGGCGGAGAGGGGCATCTTGCCCGCGGCATTTGCGCGGAGGTCGAGGTATGGGACGCCGGTGCTGGGGATCTTGTTCTCGGCCACCGGGGTCATCCTCCTGTCGTGGCTGAACTTCCAGGAGATCATCGAGATCCTAAACTTCCTCTACTGCTGCGGGATGCTGCTCGAGTTTGCGGCGTTCGTGTGGCTGCGGATCAAGCAGCCGAATCTCGTCCGGCCTTACAAAGTTCCGCTGGGGACGATCGGGGTGACGGTGATGTGCCTGGTGCCGTCGGTGCTGCTGGTGGTGGTGATGTGCATCGCGTCGGCCAAGACGGTGGTGCTCAGCGTGGTGTTCTCGCTGGTGGGATTTGCGGTGTACCCGGCGATCCAGCTCGCCAAAAAAAAAAGCTGGCTAAGTTTCATTGATGCGCCGGATCCCATCGCGCTCAACAAGGAGAAGATCCCGGCGCTGGCGGAGGAGCGCATTGTGCACGCGCGGGAAGCTGGGGATGAACAGACCCAGCTCTTGTGCTCATAGAAGTTTTTTAAATCCTACTTCGCAAACAATCAACTAACCAAATGATGATAAAGGATAAAATGCTCCACAAATACTTTCAACCCATTGGAATGGCCATTGGTCAAATGCGGCCAAGAATTAAGACTTAATACAAATGCAATGCTTTTGTGGCTGGGAAGAGGCTTGATTTGAGATGAGAAGCTTGTTGCTCCTGTTGCTATGGACGTTCTTGCGTGTGCCCATTAATGAAAAGGGTGGCCACTCAACCTCGAGCAGATCCTGGCCATGGAGTTCCACATTCGCTACTTCCTCATCACTCAGCTCCAACCTGATAGATTCTATTATCCACGGACATGGTCCACAACACTCCGAATTGATCATGACCTTTTTGCATTGTAAGGCTGATGCTCTTTAGCCAAGTATCAGATGAAAGTTGCAGCCTTACACCCTCCCCAATGCGGGTCCAAATCTTAGAGCAGCTTTCAATGCCCTAGTTGATCGAGTCTCAGCACTAGCTAGTATGCATGGCTATAATCATGTAATGGCCACCTTAGGACTTGTAAGCATTGACTACCCGACTCTCTTCACATCTCTGCCACCAACTTGCAATGCACAGTCAGCCTTTTTGAGGCTGTTTTCCCAACTCTTAACTCTACTAGAGAGCTGTATGGCCAAAATGACTGTTATGCCTTTAACTTTGGAATGGTGAGTTGAGAGTGAGGAGTGTTTGGATCCGACCTTTACAGTGGCTCTCATCTTGTATCTCTCGAGCTTGTTTTGAAATATGACTGTAACTTGGTAATATTAGCAAGGGGATGGAAAGAGCTTTGATCAAGATGGGAGTGGTATCTTTACATCAAACATTTACTACCAATCATTTTGGAACCAATTGGGTGCTTGAAAATAGTGGATCCATCGTGATTTACCATGCTTTGGGGCCATGCTCTCTTGTGGAAACACTTATAAGTGTCTCACCTGGTCTAAAACTCCAGTAGGGAGTGTGGAGCAGGGCACCCAAGGTTTGCCTTACACTCCATCCTTACTATCTTTAACATTTAACAAAGATCGCAAAAAAAAAATAAAAAAATTGCCCTGCTTTAGGCTAGATCCATGCAAACTTAAATTCTAATATTAACCTTTTTCATGCGTACAATCAAGGAAAGCCACTCAACAAGATCCACAGGAAAGATGAAACTAATGTCAATTAGCTTGACAGGAGTGACAACAGAATTTGTCAAAATGGTGTGGACAATGATGTTTGAAGACACTCCCTTCAACTCTGAGTAGTCCCATGTGAAAATGTCTATGAGATTCTTAAGTGGTTTCCCACAAACAAAAGGTTTGGCTAGGCATTCTTAGTGACCAAATCAAGAGGAATGGTTTCCACCACTTTCAACACGATTAAATTTACCATCACCTCTCAATTGACTGGATGGTTTGGCAACACATCCTCTAAGATAGAGTTCCACAACCCTTGCTTATCTGATGCCATATGAAGAAGCTCAATGGTCCAAGATGTCAATTGATACATGAAGTAGAATGTCAACAGCTTGACCTTCCTAACAAACTGCTTGCAAAGTAGTAGAGAATCTGACCATGTGGCTCCCTTGTACTTACACTCACTTGGTGAAGTTGTCATAACTATTTGCGAGAATGATTAAATAAACTTGCTATCATCAAACAACAACACCACACTACACCTACTTTAGAGAAAACTACATCACAAAACAAGGATTAGAAAGTGGCATTGTCTCCATTGTCATTTTAGTGATCTCTACTTTGTCCCCAATCTCTTCCAGTGCAAGAAGACTGAGTGCATTGTGAAAAATCTCCAAATCCCCAAGATACATCCATTGTTGCTCTCGTTCTTCTTCATTCCACAACTGGAAAAGGAGTTGGATGTGTACTCACTTTCTAGAGAGATAGGAACTTAGTGCTCATAGGACATAGAAAAGGTATCTTAGCCTAGAATAGATTCCATTCATCTTTTGACCATTCAAGATGCAAATTATGCAGTGAAGCTGTAGGGTTAAAGTAAGTTAAAAGGAGGAGGAGAAGACCACGCACAGGACAAAGAGACCTGGCCGGTTCCTTATCAGGAGAGGATTGTGGTGTCTCATGGAATTTAAATCCTAGTAGGAATATTTCTAGACTGAAGTTATGTCTCCAATGCCACCGTTATAGCTCCGTCGATTCATCTATAATTATAAAAACTGGCAATCAGTCTTAGCATCGTAGTTTTCTTTGCATTTTTTTTTCTCGGGGAAGTGCCAACTCAAGGAGCCCTTACATAGGAAGCCACAGCCTCCTGATTGAGCTCGAATGCCATGGTCAGGCAGAGCTCTTGTGTCACCTTCAGATCTACCCAGAGATATAGACGGTCTCACATGCACTCAAGGCTTGCCTTGTTGCCTATGCCAAGACTCATACCGCAGACATAGATTGGGATGCCAACACACACACAATACTCTCCTAATAAGGAAATGACTTCATCACTCGTCAACTATATAATGTGCATGGTGTTGCAACAAATAGATATCCACTTTAGATTTACAAAGTCCCAGGAAAAAGTTGGGAAGAAAAAGTATGATGGTAAGTTTCTATACTATTTGATAGTCTCGCGGTGCCCACATCTTAAAGCATGAGTGTACATGACTGGGTGTACTTAGTAAATGCCAACTCTTGGCATGACACTACATGTAATCAACTAAAATCAAATACTGACAAACCAACAAAATGCTCCAAAATAATTTCTTATATTTTATTGAGTATATTGACCTAGAACACCTGGTTGTTGACATTCCCATTCATAGTCAATCCATTGTTCTTAATAGTCAAAGTTCGAAATGGCCATTAGTCAATGCAGCCAAGAATCCCAATGATTAAGAGCCCTTTGTTGCAAATGCAATATTTGAAAATTGAAGCTCAACTTGAGGCAAGAAACATGTTGGTGCTGCTCTTGTTTCTGTGGACAATCTTTTTTCCTTCTAGCTGCTTATGTGTGCGCTTCGATGTCGCAACTGGCTTGGGCATACTCAACCTCCAGCAGGTCATTGCCATGCAGGTCCGTATTCGCTACTTCCTCATCAATGAGATCCACCCGGACAGATTTTATGGTCCACAGACATGGTCAACAACACTCCAGATCGATCACAACCTCTACTGTATTGTAGGTCTGACACTCTTCAGCCAAGCAGCAGATGGAAGTTGCAACCTTGCACCCTCCCCAATGATGACCCAGGGGTCCCATCTCAGAGCAGCTTTCAATTTCCTAGTTGATCAAGTTGGAGGACTAGCTCGCATGTATGGCTATAGCCACATAATAGCCACCTCAGGACGTGTAAGCATTAACTACTTAACTATCTACACAACTCAGCCGCAAGGTCATCTTGCATCGCATAGTCTACCTTTTGAGGGTGTTTACAATCTTTCCCAACTCAATCCAACTCTCAACTCTACTAGAGATCTGTATGACCAAAATGACTGCTATCCCTTTCGCTCTGGAATGATGAGCGGAGAGCGAGGAGAGCTTGGATCCGACCTCTACAGTGGCTCTCGTCTTGTGTCTCCGAACGGCTTCTACGAGCTTGTTTTGGAATACAACTGTAACTTGGTGCTATTGGCGAGGGGATGGAAGGAGCTTTGGTCGAGTTCTACGGCTGGAAAAGGAGTTGGATGTGTACTCACTCTCCAAAGGGATGGGAACTTGGTGCTCGTAGGAGGAGATGGAAGAGGTATCTTTGCATCAAACATTTACTGCCAACCACAGCCTCACTGCATACTTGGAACCAATTTGGTGCTTGAAAATAGTGGATCTATCTCTATCTATCGTGCCTCTGAGCCCATGCTTCTCTTGTGGCGACGGCCATAAGAGATCAATTTGGAATTCTGGTCTTAAACATAACATTTAAACTAGTTATACCATCGAAAAAACTGCAATACGCTTGGGAAAGAGTCATAGAATCCACGACTTCCAGTTTTGCTGCGTTGGATGTTCTTCTTACCACGTTCTGGAGCTCTTGTTCACAGGTTTACAATTAGTACCGCACTGCTACGATATTCAAAGGCACTCGAGAAACGACTTTGACCATCTCCCACTTTGTGCCGAAAGTCATTAGTTTTTCATTTTTTATTTTTTATTTTTTTGGCCATGGAAAGCCCTTTTCTAGTTGCATTATGGAAAGCTACAATGCACTTCACGAAATAGGGGGTGTTGTGGAGAATGCCTGAGTATGCGTTTTGCTCCCTTGTCTTCCAACTTCCTGTGAAAGTAGATAACGATTTATGTCAGACGTTCCGAGCTCGTGATCTATATTTCATAGAGAAGTACACAGAAAGCCGCAGTAAAATATTCCGCCATTGCAAGCTCAGCGAGGGAGGTCGGGGAAAAACTAGAGCAAAACTTGCTTCGCTTATTGACTGCTTGGTCGTCGTTGGATGATCAGACTGCTGCTTGCTGGTTGCAGCATCCAGCGTGGTGCTCGATACGAGGCCAAAGATCTTTCACAATTGGCCGTGGCTTTCCAGTACGCGAGTAGAAACCATACAAGATCAGCTGAATCACCGCCAGGCAAGCTCCAACAAGATTTGGCACCTAGAGAGTGAGCAGGCTTTCAATGAATTGAGCTCCAAATAAAAAACGAGTCGAGCAATGCCTACCACAATGTAGTAGTCGTGTGGTTGTCCCAGGAATCCATACGCAGTCCAGGTAGCTCCATTGAAAAGCCCGGCCACGAGCGGCAGGAGGGGCATGTATTGGACACTCTTGGTAGAAATCACTGTTCTCTGGACGAAACAAATCGAAGTAAAGTTGATGGAACTCGATCAAAGTCCAGACTTACCATGATGGAAAGAGGAGAAGCATACATTGCAATGGTGACTACAGCGCAGCAAATCCCAGCAAACTTCCGGCGTGTGTGATGGTCCTTGGAAGCCATGAAAACAGCCAAAACAATCCCCAAGTAAACCGTCAAGACGATGCTGATCATCCCGGCTACTCTGGCCTGTAAATAACAAGCAAAGTAACTACGATAGAAAACTTTCACACGAACTCTCCCCTACCTTCTCGATTCTCTTGGAGGCGTAGAAGAGGAAGATCCCCAGATAGACGCTCTCGATCACACAGCCGATTGTATTGATCGTGATCACGAGCACGCTGTTGGAAGTAACGAAGGGAAGGCCGTAGAGCACCCAGAGCAAGCAGTTGAAGAGCGTCGCGACGTAAGGGGCTCCCGAGAAGTCGCCCGTGGTGTGGTTCTTGACGATACTCCGGAAGGTTGGCCTGTCAAGCACACGTCAGAGCCCGTCAAGGCCTCGTCAATGCCAGCCATAGCCAAAACCCCAGGGGCCAGGGATCAAGAAAGCGAGGATCTTACGCAGGGGACAGGAAGAGGCCGAAAGCGATCACATTTCCTGCGGGGAGCGCTCTCCACAATCAGGATCGGCGAGATCGAGAGAGAAAGAGGAAATCGGGAGAAAGAAGAAAGATTACCGATGATCCCCATGACAGTGCGAATTGCGCCGGCGAGCGTCATATTTTCTCCTCCGGACACGCGGTCGATCGAGCGAGCGCCTACATTTGCCGCCGCGAGCTCCCCCGCCGAGAAAGAAACGTTCTTTTGTTCTTCGTGGTAGGGGTTTAACGCGCCAGATCGCCACCGTTGGATCTTTGGCCGTTGGATGTGGAGCGCGGGCAAAGTTTTAGGGCTAGCGATGGCGATGGCGACACGATCTTCTTCTTTCTCGATCTAACCCTCTTTCGAGCGCCAGGATTCATCGAATCAGGATTTCCGGGCGATGGCCTGTCAATGGAGAGCTTCCGGACTCCACATTGTGATACAGTGGCGAGCTGTGGCTTCTTTCGAGGTAATAATCTCGCGCTCTTTGGACTTGGAAGATAGAATTTGTAGGAAGTCCAGCTCCACGGCGACGAAGTGACCACTTTCTGGTGTGCCTTCTCGAAATTTTTGCTCTCTTTCCTTTCTAAGGTTTTTGTTTAAGTGGATCTTAGTTTCTCAAGACCAGGATGAAGCTGAATTTGCGAAGCTTATATATGGCTGATGGCAATGCTACGGCCGAGCTCCTCCAAGTTTCCACATTGCTTCAGCAAGCCATCGCATCAGCTTCTTCTGAAAAGGTCGGTGAGTAGTTTTTCTCTTTTCTTTTTCTTTGTTTGTTTGTTGTGAAGCGGGCATTGGGTTATGCAGTTGCCAGAGACAACAAGCTGCTCGATCACTGGTTCTGGATCAAGGCTGGAGCAACGGTATACGACGATTTGGCCACAGAATGCAGCTTCAGGGTGATATAAACTCGTGGTTTTGCATTTGTAACTTTTGGTATTGATGCTGCGACAGGGAGAACGAAACATGGCTGCTTCGACAAACACTGACATTGAGCAGATTGAGAATTTGGTTAGAGAGGGTACTTATAGTTTGCTGCAAACAGTTTCTTCGGTTGAGCAGCAACAGCATAGCTGCGAGAAGGATGAAAAATGTTTTGAGTATAACACACGAGAAATGAAAAGTGGAGCTGGACCGATGTAAGAAGCGCCTCTCAGTGCTTTAAACAGTTTTCAATCACATTGAAACCGTGGAGAACTCTTTAGGCCATCATCCTTTGATGAGTAAAAAGTGCTCCAAAGTGAGCTGTGCAGCCTTTTGGTGTTTGAAACGACTCTTAAGGGCACACTCAACCTTGAGCAAATCTAGTGAGTCCAATTAATTAGAAGTAATAATGATATATTCATTGCTAATAGTCAACTTTGGAAAATGTTTTATTAGATCAAATGTTATTAATTTAAATGGACGGGAAATTGCAATTGACTCCAACCATCATTTCATAACATGAGAGGGAGTAATATGAATTTAGCACCAAATATATTTATATATATATTAGATAACTTTATATTACATTTTCAGCTAATAAAAAAACTTGTGCAGCTTTTCAATCATATAACGATGTCTCATATGTCTGCGTAAAATAAATGAATCATAGTAAGTATAGAGAAAGCATGGAACAAAAATTGAAAAGCACCACCAGCCATAAATGATCATTAAGATTCATCTCTCAAAATAAAGAAAATCATTCTCAAGATGATATTGAGAATGTAAATACCAAATGGCAAATTATTAACAAATGATACAAGATTTTCAAATCTATCACGCTACAACAACTATTGACCTTATAGAAACTTTATTCAAAAAATCTATAAATGTTGAAATAAACTTGTCAAAAACATAAAAAGAAAGTGAAAGAGGAAGAAGAACTTAGGAAAGAATATCAACATCAATTATAAAACTCCTTAAATGATTAACAGAATTAAAATTATATATTTGATTTAAAGCCCACTAAACAGTACAACCAACTAAATTATTTCACTTTAATAATAAAATAAATGCAACATGATCACCTTTTAGTAATGTCCAAGAATTATATAGATATGTATAAAGTTTCTAAAAACTCTAAATTGTTGCTAAACACTCATTCTCTATCATGGAATAATTCACCTCTATTGATTGTAATATGCTAAAATTAGAAGAATTGTTAACAACTCTTTGAAATCTATAAATGCCCACTCACAATTTACAGACTAATGTAAGCGACTAAATTTTCCATTCTACTTTAGTCACTTAACCACACCTCTGACCACTTGGAGGAGTCTCATTCACAACTTCCATAAGTCCAATCCAGGACTTGGGACTTGCTAGCCCCAAGAATGGCATCCATGCCACTCAACATTTGCACTTGGTCCAAGTGCACCACGTGTCCGATCCCATGACCGACACTCAAAGGTACCACCAACATAGTAGCCCGTTACGCTAAGGCCATGCCCAATCACCTTTGCCACACTGGTAGTCCAATACCACTTGCATCACCGTCTTGGCTCTCCAAGACTAGGCAAACCATCCGTGAGTGGTCATCTCAGATCCACTCCTTAGCATCCTTAGGATGCCCACCGACAAGGGGAATAGCCTTCCCCAATATCCCTCTGTCAGTCCCCACTAAGTCCCTTTCTGCCCCTAGCCGTGTTTGCCAACACTGCCACTGGATCGAGACCCACAGGCCCGACCACTAAGTCCCACGGTCCTCTGGGACTTCCTCACCACACGACTGTGTCCTTGGTCACTACCCCAGAGGACTGCTCCTCTTCCTTTCCACAGTCTGGGCCTTTGGGACAACATTTCGGAACACCGTGGCCTTAGGCAAGCCTCATGGGTACTCTCCCCGCCTTTCACCTTTAGGTGCTCTAGCCATGGGCTTAGAGCGGGTTCCGTTGAGCCACACCAGGTATCCAAGTAGGTAGTGCCACCCACACTTGGACTGGGAGCATCGGCCAGACGATCTCCCGGGGGAACTAGAGCCGGCTCTTGAACACTTCACCAAGCTACCCCGCTTGTCGGTCCATGTTCACTCTAGTCTTGGACTTCCCAGTGGGCAGCTCATCACCCAACACTGGGTCCGGCCTTCCTAGGCCAAACTGGCCTTTCCTGGCCAAACTGGCTCCACTGCAGTCCTCCCCCTACTATACTTTTGGAGCTCACCAAACCCCCCAGGGTCTGGGAGACGAACGCTTTGGGCTTTCACCCTCTCAGGCTCCGGACTCGGACTCGGACTCGGACTCGGACTCGGACTCGGATTCGGACTCGGACTCGGGCTCGGGCTCGGTCTCGGCCTCGGCCTCGGTCTCGGTCTCGGTCCCGATCTCGGTCTCGGTCTCGGTCTCGGTCTCGGTCCCGGTCTCGGTCTCGGTCTCGACTTCGGACTCCATCTCGGACTCCATCTTGGACTCCATCTCGGGTCCATCTCGGACTCCATCTCGGACTCCATCTCGGGTCCATCTCGGACTCCATCTCGGACTCCATTTCGGGTCCATCTCGGGTCCACCTCGGACTCCATCTCGGACTCCATCTCGGACTCCATCTCGGGTCCATCTCGGACTCCACTTCGGACTCCAACTCGGGTCCATCTCGGGTCCACCTCGGACTCCACTTCGGACTCCATCTCGGACTCCAACTCGGGTCCATCTCGGACTCCATCTCGGACTCCTCTTCGGACTCCAACTCGGGTCCATCTTGGACTCCACTTCGGACTCCAACTCGGGTCCATCTCGGACTCCTCTTCGGACTCCAACTCAAGTCCATCTCAGACACTCCCACGTGTCATGTGTTGGTCCTTTTGGGTCTCTTTTTGGAGCCTCGCCTTTTGCTCCCTTCGTGCTCGTTCCTCGAGCACTTCGTTGGGAGTTCCACTCCCGCTCTTGACTTTTCAAGTCAGAGCTTTTGGTCCACACGTGTTACACTCGTTTGGCTCTCGCTTCGGCCACTACCATGTGGCGCCCTTCCGGCTCCACTTTGGGGCCTAGGGATTTTGTGTCTCACACTCCACCACCCATAGACGAAGTTCGATGTCCTCATCGAACGGTGAACCATTTTATAAAGTAACACCCGCATGTGTTACCATTTCCATCCTTGGCGCGTAGCCAATATTTGTCAATGGTGTGACCTTGAAGGCTCACCATGCCTTCTCCACATTCGTCAATGGTTGGACATTGAAGGCTCACCATGCCTTTTGCATATCCTCTAAGGAGGGTAGTCTCTCCAACTTAGAGACTGATTGGACCACATGTAGTGGTTCTCTCCTTTTATTGGTTTAGTCCTCGCTAAACCTCTTAGAGACCCTTCTCTAAGTCAATCCCACTACTCCTTCTCGAGTAGTCTCGATTTCCATTGATATAACCTTTGCACTTTGGAACTTTGAATTTTGACTTCTTGGAGTCAATTTCCTAGGTGTCTCCGACACCTTGCCTTGCACCTTTTTATGCAACTCCACTTCCCATCCTAGGAAGTTCTCTACTCGAGGGCACCATCATCCTCTCTTCTATTTTGTGCCAAAGTTCTAGTTATCATACTTTGTGCTAGGGCTGGTCATGGCCCTATCATTTGGCTACCTTACCGCTCCCTCCCTTGGAGCTTCCACTTTCGCCAAATCGGAGCATTTCGGAATCCCTCATTGGAAACACACTTCCTTTCCCGCAACTTGTTAGCGTCCAACACATTAGTGTTCCTCGCCTAACTTTGTCACTTGGATTCCTTCCAAGGTATTCCACGGCCCTATCTTGGCCACTCATCTTTTGCTCCTATCCGTTGATTGTTGCACCAAGCAACATCGAATCTCTACCTCCCTTCTTGAGGTATTGTTTTGGTTTTATTGCAAAGACTCTTCTTTGCCAAGTCCGGAGGATGTTCACCCCTAGTATGTCTCTTTAGCATCTTCTGCTATGGGCTCTATCCACGGCCCAACTTCGTGACCCTCCCATGGGTCTTTTATAGAGACTACTTTCCTCGGACTCACTATGCCATCGCATGGACATAGTTTATTTCCCTTAGGTGCTCTTCCCACTTGGTCATCACGACCAAGCCACACCACCTTAAACAGTTCAATTTCAACATTTTGAACCAGGAACTTCATTCCTTAGCCAACCAAGGACCTTGTCCTTATCTGGCCATAAGATCACCTAGTGATCTCACCTTGGCAC